AAAAACAAGGATCCTGTTTCTCATAGCAGAATAACATTCCCTTGGGAATCTCACTGCTGTTGGTGGAGGCAGTAGCTAGGACTGTTCCACTTATATCTTCAGTCTCCTGTATTCACAGTAAGCAGAGGGAGACACGGTATTAGTCACATCTATTACCCTAACTGAGGTGGAATTAGAACCATGTCTGGAAATCAGAAGATTGGCTGTACCTGTCACTACTCTTGTGTCTTGTAGCCCTTGGCGGCAAACTCTCAAAGCATTCTTTATTCCTTATTTTCAATTTTTTTATACCTCATCATTTTTCCAGATCATTTGATTTTTCCTATGTGACCATATTGTCAAATGCGAAGGGCAGCTTTCCAGGCTCGCCTCATTTGACTGTCAACGCCTCCTGATAGAGTTGATTTCCACACTCTGCCATGCTCTGCTTTGTATGTGGTGATCACTGACACAGCCAGGTTCTTCAATGAAACTCGGCCACAGCACCATGATGACAGTCACAGACTGTGCTGTTTACTATTTTCTTCCCTTATCCCTCCCTCCCATCTCTTTGTTTTTAAGAGTTCGAATCCTGGTATATATTAATCTACATTCTTCTGTAATTTCATAGTATTTGTTAATACAATCCTTAAATCTTTAATTAATGTTGTCATTGCAACCACCCCTAAATTTAAATAAGCATTGTAGGCCTCACTGCTGAATTTAAGATTAATTAGGCTAAAAGTCAGCTTAACATTGTACTTTGTGTCTGATTTCCTAAACTGTACCCCTGAGCTTCCCCACACAGAATTCCTTTTTAAATAATGACAGTTCTTTTACTAACAATGAACAAAAACTTGGAATCATCTTTGAGTCCAGTCTTCATTCCCAATATCCAATCAATTGGGAAATCATCATGACTTTTTTCTAAAAACACTCTGACTGCCCTCACAACTTCTGTTGTTACAACCTGACATGTGTTTCATCATTTGTCCGGTTTCCTAACCAGGATGTCCTAACCAGTCTATCTGACTACCTGACGTGCTACTTCTTCCTGTTGATCAGGGACACCTCCCTCAGCTGTGCCCCTGCCTTTTGTGGGGCATGCATTTCTTAGTCATCCAGGTACTTATGCCTCTTCTCTAAGACTGCCCCGAAGGCCATTCTCTTCCAAACTGCAACCTTGTCTTCATTTTGCATCTTGGAGTCTGGATTTCTTCCTCTTCCTCTGCTTAGTTTGGTTTTCCAATGGCTATTCTTACCTTATAGCACACACTGCATAACCTTTCAAACATATTGTATTTAGTGTCTGCTTTTTTCTGCCTAGAATATGGGTTTTCTCAGGGCTAATTATTGTAGAACTTCCTCATCAGTGAGTATATCCTGCATGCGTGAAACACTGTATACATTTAATCATTCTTTGAAAAGGAGTAAATGGGAGGAAAATAAAACACTGGCCCATCTCTAAAGCCATTCTACCTCAAAGAGATATTTTCAATAGATTCTATCACTGAATATATGACTAAATATAATGATCATGCCACTTTCTGTAGTGATATTTGCTCTGCCATGACCTTGGGCTATATGGCCTGAAGGAGGCAGTGCTTCCTGCCATTTTACATGACCTCTTATAAGGAGCTGGAAGAAGGGTCACATGCCCCTTCTCCCTGCTCCTTTTTTCGAGGTGGATTCACTCCTAGTCATATCAGAGGACAACTTCAGCTGTCTACTCTGTTCTGTATTCGTGAGTGTATTTCCTCAATTTATATCTTAATAAATTCTGTACCTATTTAATAGACTCACGTGGATTGATCATAATAACTTTCCACATTTTAGACATTGCATGTTTAATTCTTGCTAAGTTTTGGACAAACAGAAAGGGAGGAGGGGAAATTACAAATAGAAATATCAATATTAGTAAAATAACAGAATAAGTAAGTATACTGAGTCTACTGTTCTGAGTTAGACATGCTGAATTTCAGAATATTGAAAGAATTTATAAATTTGGTAAATTGCTATTCTGACATTTAAAAGTAGGACAGGAAGAAGAAATTGTTTAAATCAAACCTAAGTAAGGCATCAATACATTATAAAAAGAGCCATTCATAAATATTTTAAAAAGAAGATCTGAGACTGGGAAAATGACTCAGGAAACAATCTTCCACACAAGTCCTGATCCCCAGCACCCATGAAAAGGTCATGCTTTATGACACACAGCTATCTCTTTTATGGGGAAGGCAGGGTACTGTAGAGACAGGTGGATCTTAGACCTCACTGGCCATAGAGTTTATTCAGTTGGTGAGCTCTGGACTCAGTGAGAGAACTTGTCTCTAAAAAGAACATTAAGAGCAACTGGGGAAAACACAGGATATAAACTTCAGGCCTCCACAGGCATGCACATACAACACATATCCTACACACAGAGAGAGAGAGAGAGAGAGAGAGAGAGAGAGAGAGAGAGAGAGAGAGAGAGAGAGAGAGAGAGAGAGAGAGAGAGCGCTGATTTCTGTAAGTCTGCATGGATTCTTCCAAGGAAATTCTTATCAGGCTGATCTGTCTTTTTTCTCTTCCCCCTCCCTGCACTGAGGACTGAACCATAACTAAGTGCTGTACCCCTTACCTGTTGCCCTGCCCACATCTTCTGTTATTTTAAAGAACTATTACACTGACTAATGGTGTGGCTGAACCCTAACAAAGCTTGTTTATCAACTTCGTCATTAAAATAGCACTCAAAAAGCAGAAAATAGGTACAAATATAAGGGGTAGAAAATACAGTTTAGAATCATGATTCCCAGAAATCTTAGCAGACTGGGAACATACAGTTATACAAAAGACTAGAGATCAGGCTGCATAAGTACAAAATGCCAGTTGTTTGGCTACTGTTGAAGAAATAAGATATTTATTAGTCTATATGTAGAAATTCTGTATGAGTCTATTTTAGAATGGGCATGCCAGAGAGACTAACACAATTGTAGTCTTCAGAAGTTCTTCTAAGTAACACAGTGGACAGTTCTTAGGATGTGAATTTGAATTCTTGTCATGTTTTTACATCAGCATAAGCTAGCACATTTTCTAGAGTGACCAAGGCAGTAAAACACCTCAAAATCATTTCCATTAGGAAGATTTAGAACAAACCATGAGTTTTTTTTTTCCTAAAGATGTCTCAAGGGGTGTAAATAGTTCAAATATATCCACGTGAAAGTTACGTTCATGTCCTCCTCACCCTTAAAACTTCTATTTCTTTGTTTTTAAAATAATTTTTAATGGTGGATATCTATTCAGCATGGTACTGAGTTATTTTTTCATACAAGTCTCTGATATGCTCTGAGCATAATCTACCCATTCTCTCCTTCACTTTCTGTTGTTTCCCTAAATGGTTTCACACCATTTGGTTTAGTCTCTGTTCCATTGTTGTGAAGAGGCACCATGACCAGAGTAACCATTATAAAAACAAAACAAAAAAAACATTTAATCAGAGGCTTGCTTACAGTTTCAGAAGCTCAGTCCATTATCATCATGGCCGGGAGTATGGCAACATATAGGCATGTATGGTCCTGGAGAAGAAGCTGAGAGCTTTACTTTCTGATCCTCAGGCAACAGGCAGAGAGAGAGACTGGGCATGGCATTGGTTTTGAAACTTCAAAGCCCACCTTCAGTAATACACTTCCTCCAGCACGGCCTCATCTACTCCAACAAGGTCACCTCTCCTAATATTTCTAGTCATTTTAAACAGTTCTGCTCCCTGGTGATAAGCATTCAAATCTATGAGCCTTATGTGAGTCATTCTTACTCAAACCACCACATCTACTATCATGTCAGATGTGTTTTTATGTATCTATGTATAACCTTATTTGTGAATAAGAGAAAACATGGGATTTGTCTTTCTGAAAATGACTTTATCACTTAGTGATTATCTCCAGTTGCATCCATTTTCTTCCAAACAACACTTCATTCTTCCTGGTGGAAAAGAATTCCACTGTGTCGTTTATATCACATACATCATCTTCATCCATTCCTGTGTTGATGGACACTCAGTTTGCTTCCATAACTTAGCTATTGTGAGTAGTGCTGCAGGATCATTATGCAAGTATTTCTTTGGTATATTGACTTGAAGTCCTTTGGGTAAGTACCCAAGAGTGGTCTAGCTGGATTGCATGGGTAAGTACCCAAGAGTGGTCTAGCTGGATTGCATGGGAGGTCTAGTTTTATTTTTTGAACTTTTATGCTGATTTCCCCAGTGATTTGGAATAGTTTTCATTCTCATAGACATTATATGAGAGTTCTCTTTTGTTGACATCCTTGCCAGAATTTGTTGTTATTTGTTTTTGTAATGACTTCCATTCTGTCTGGAGTGACATGGCCTCTTAATGTTTTAATTTGCATGTCTGTAATGGCTAGTAAATGACCTTCAAAATGGCTAACCTCTTCATGGCTTAATTTGTTTTTCTCTTGAACACATCACTAATAGCGTGTGTTCTTATTTGGTTTCATTTTCCAAATTGTTAGGATGTCGCAAGTGATGAGGCAGTGTTTTCAGATTGGTTCCCCCATTTTATTGACTTACCACTTTAATGCTCACGTGACCAAAGCTCCTGGTTCCTAATGGATGAACTATTTCCATCACAAGGAATGAAACTATAGCCCATGGTAGAAGCCCAAGAGATAAAATTTTTATTCCTCATGGGAAATTTTTCTGTTAAAAGGAAATAATTAAACTCTGTGTGCCCTGCCTCAGAAACTCTGACAGAGAGGCAGCATGCACTTCCTGTGCTGCTCTCCACGGAAGTGCTGCCGGAGTGCTGGGGGGGGGGGTTGATGCCAGATGAAATTCTTTAAGTCTGTGAACAAGTGTAAATGGATTTTAATACTGAGAACGAGAGCATGCTTAACCTAGACTTATAGCTTCGTATGTGATCTATGGTATAATACCATTTAGCCATCAAATTTAGAGAAGTGTATATGTGAGTGTGTTTTGTTGGGGTTTATAGCCTCATCCCCCCCCCCACTCCTTTTATTTAAAGCAGTGATTCTGAGACACACTCTCAGAATTTGGGAACAATTATTGTGGAAACATCTGAGAAGATAGGCCCTATAGAAGACGGTGGAGACCAGAAAGAAACTGAAGAAACAGAAGACAGCAGTGCCCAGCAAAGGGCAGTGCAGACAGACCCACAGGAGGAGGGCAAGGCCTTAAAGGTAACTAGAGCTTACCCTAGTTACGCTGTGTCCTTAACTTTGTCCTCTCTCTATAACTTAAATCGATACATCATGCCATTTTTTGTAATTTGAATGCCTAAAAATTGTCTTCTTGAAAATAGATAGTAAAAATACTCACTTTTGAATCATTTTTAAAACCAGTTTGCTATATTTGTAAGATAAAATGAAAATGAACACTGTGCTTATAAATTGTAAGGTATTCTTATCTCAGACAAAGGAAATAATGAAAAACTAATAAAAAACTTGTAATTGTTTTTAAGAATATGAAATATAATAAGAAATTTATGCTTTTTTTGGCTTTCATTATAATAAAGTTGTTTATTCTTACTATGCTTCTGCTACAATAGGTACTTTCTACAGAAATTACTATATGGGGCTGAGGCAGGAGGATCAAGAGTATTAGGCCAGCTTAACCTAGTTTACATAGTGAGAGACCCTAGTTTACAAATGTTTTTAAATCTTTTTTGTTGGTGCTATTTTTTTACACATTACTTGATGGACTGTTTTGTTTAGTTGTAATTATACATATGCAGCCTCATGAGTTTGTAAATAGAAGAAACTCAAGTTCTCATTGACATGGCAAGCATATTTGATTAAATATATAAATATATATTAAGTATATTTGATTAAATATACACATGATTTTAACAGAAAATAAATAACCAAATTGTAGCCAATGTGTTTGGAAAATATTAGACTCCCTCACCAACCCCTGGAATAACCATTATCTTGATTTTAATTCAGTCACTTCCTTTTTTAGGGTTATGATTAAGTTCCTTCTCTGGGGCTTTATGAAGTAGGTCATGGAAAGCCTCTGGTGCCTGGCTTCTCTTCTTCACTACCACTCAGAATTCATTCATTTTTAGTCCTGTATATAGTATTTCATTGTATGAATGTGCCACACATTGTCAGATATACTGTTGGAATTTGAGAGGCTTCCCTTCAGATTTTCTGCAAATAATGTTACAATGAATATTCTTGTATATTCCATTTATTGCATAAATGTGGACATTTCTGTAGTAAAACTAAAACATGAATTACTGCTCCTTAAATGATAAGTTTCTGAGATTATGGTTGGCATTTTTTACTTGCTTAAGTATGAGACCACTTCTCTGCACACCCCAGGTGTTAATGTAAATCTCCAATGTACACTTAGTATGTTAGACACTCTCATTTCAGACACTTGTGTGTTTTGAGGTTCATCGCTGAGGGATTTCTGTGATTTCCAAGATATTGAGAGATATTGAGCCTTTTCTATGTGGTTATCGACCATTTGTAATTCTTTGCTAAACTGCTTTTTTATGTCTATTTTATAAGCAAATTATCTATATTTTTCTTATATATAGAATATGCCAGGTATGGGATTTTATTATCTATATAAAATATTACATATAATATATATTTCAGTATATTTGAAAAATATTAGACTCCGTCAACATTTATATATGTATCTTTTCCTATGCCTTTTGCCCTACTAGATGGTGCTTTTTAAATAACATATTAATTCTAATATGGTTCAATTTATCAATTTTCCCCTTATGTAGATAGGAAGATAGAGATACAAACTACTCTGAAATTTGAAAGAAAAGTAAAAAATTAGATGGGAACCTTGGGTCTTGAGATTCAATGTAGTGTTGAATTCTCAGAGTTCCCTGTGTGCTGGCTTAGACACTGAGACACCTGCAACCTGTTAACTGTAATAAATAGAGATGATAAAAGTCCCTAATTACACTGTGCTCTTTCCAGTCAGAGGATGATGAGGTTAGCCTAGCAAGACAGAAAACTTTACATAACTACCTTTTATCAGCCAAACACCATGGAAAATACAACTCGACTTCTACCTCCAACATTCAAGACCCATTAGATACCTAGGCTCTGCTGTCATTTGTAAGGAGGTAGCTCTTATCTCTCTTCCTCCTATCTGGGTAAAGTGTTAGAGGACCCAGGGGAGCCTTGGCCCCATCTTCATTGCATGGAGACTACAGAGAAGTCCTGAACATCTGTCACCATCTGAGAGATCCCCTTTCTTTCCTAGCACGTGATGTCATGAGCCAAGCACAGAGAAGACAACTTTCATTGCCTCATACCTAACAAGCCCCCAAGCCTCCTTGTGTTGTCGCAGTAGGCTAGGTGGGAGCAATAACAAGACTGTCCGTCTTCCAGCTTCAGTAGTGAAGGCAGAGGCCCATTGCAGAGCCTCAACTGCTCCCTGCAAAGCAGTCATGATGTGCCCCTCTTCAACTATGGTGTCCCTAGAGACTGGACTCCCATTCTCCACTTGTATAACTGATGTTGTGCCTCTTGTCTGTCTCAACATGTAATTGGAGAAGGCTATGCCAACAAAATGCAAATAATATCAAGAGTCTTCACACAATACCCCAACTATTCAGAGTGGAAATCACTCATCATATTAAGAACAAATGATACTGCAGCTTATATAAGAGAAATCAATCAACAAAAGACAAAAGCCTGACAGTAGATAGGATGTATATACTATATATGATATTCCTTTTAAACAAACTGTCACTGTAAAATGTTTCAATGAGTAATTATGGACAGGTTACAACAAGAGAAAAAAACAGAGCCTGCTAATAAAGAGTCTCAGGAAAGAAGTAAAGGTATTGAAAAATCCAAATAAAAATTATGAAACTGAAAAGTCTGGTTTTTATTTGCCCCACAGAGGGTAGCATAAACCCTCATTACCCCAAATTGGTTCTGTTATAAAATGGGATGATACCATACACCTCAGAAGGTCGGAAGCTTTATTATCCACATAGTGAAATGCTGAGTCTAGAAGTAAATTTGCTTCATTTTTAGCAGCTGATCTTTGATGAAGGTGAAATGACTATTTCAATTAAGGAAGGGCAGTCTTTTTGACAAATAGCAGAATCAGCTGGCTATTCCTAAGCAAAAAGAGGAATATATGCCTAAACCTCAAATCTTATGTGTAAGTTAACTTGATGCATAATGTATAAAAGTGTGACATTTAAGTTATAAAACTCATTGAATGAAATGTAAGATTAAAATCTTCAGAACTAGGGTTTGATGAATAAAGAATTTTCAGACCTGATACCAATCTAAAATTCATAAGTCAGATTACATTAAAGCTTAGAAGGTGGGACAGCATGGCCGGTGCCCAGTATCTGATAAAGGTTTCACGTGTTGAGTCATATAAAGAACTCTCAAACTCCAGCCATAAAAGATACAGCAATCCAATTGTGAGTGGGCAAGGCATGAACAGGCAGTTCACCCAAAAAGATACCTGGGTGGCAAATAAGTACACAAAAAGTTGTTCGGCATCACTAGCCTTTCAGGAAATTCAGGTTAGCATCACAAAGGACAGCTCAGTGAACAAGACAATCCCAAGAGCTGACAAAGATGCAGAGGAAGTGGAGCTCAGCCTGTGCTGCTTTGATTTGGAATGCAACAACGTAGCATTCCAGAAAATTCCCTGATAGTTTCTCGAAAACTATAACTACCACTTATACCAAACTGTAACTGCAACCCAGTTGTCACACTCTTAGATACTAATCCCAGGAATAAACAGTGTTTGCTAGATGTAGTGGGATAGGAAGTCTTTCACTGGTTCCTGGAAGAGACACAGATAAAAGCAGGGGACTGATGCCACACATGACACCCCCATTCAGCTCCCTGAAGCCAGGCTGGCTTGGAGCTCCCCACATGAGCCCTGCTGGTCTGCAGCTTGAGGTGACCATCTTGTCTTGGTCTCCCAAATATGACCCACCTCTCCTATCGTGAAAGCAAGAAAAAGGTTGTTATTGCTCTTTGAGTTTCATTTGCCCTCAGTGTCTCATGTCTACATTCAAACAGAACAGGAGAAGCCTCTAAGCCAAGCACCCAGGCTACAGAGACTGCATCGTTAACTAGCCGTGTCTTATTGCCCTTGCTTTATTTATTTATTCCTACTTTTTACAACTGTCCATAGGTGAAATTCTACTTCTTTACAAGTTGATTTCGTGTCTATATCTTCTACCTGATAGTTCAGCATTAAATTTATTGTACATATTAAAATATAAATTCAGATTGATTTCTGAGGATATAATCGAGGAATCAATTACAGAATTTTGTTGTCCACACATTTTGTCTACTTAAATATACTTTAAGTGACATGTGAATTTGTTTGACAATGTCATTGAGTAGAAACCATTTTTTTCTTGAACTTTCAAATTTAGGATATTTCTCATTGTAAGAATACCAAGAAAATGGCTTTTCAAAAGAAAAGTGGAAGCATGCAGAAGAGTTTACATACAGTGGTTCCTGCCAGAGGTAAGAGTGTAATAAGAAACTAACAGTGTCTTTATAAATGTAATCTGATTTTTTTAATTATTAGCAATATTATTTTTGTTTAGTTAACAGAGAAAAGTACAAAAATATACCTGCCCAAAAATCCAGTAGCAACACTGTTTTATTACGAGAACGGATTATAGCCTTACAGCAGCAAAACAGTTTGCTTCATAATGCCAAGAAAACAGCAGAGTCATGTGCTAAGGAATATAAAGAAGCAAACGAGAAACTCCTCCATCAACAGCAGATATCTGATCAACGATTTCAGACCAGCAGACAGACAATAAAGGTAAAGAGAACACTAAGACTGCATTATAATTGATATGTTGAACTGTGGGAAGCCAGCTCCCACCTTTTAAGGGTCCCTATGAGGAGGAGAGGGATAAGAAACTTTTAGGCCAAGTGGTGGTGGCCCACGCCTTTAATCCCAGTACTTGGGAGGCAGAGCCAGGTGGATCTCTGAGTTCGAGGCCAGCCTGGTCTACAGAGTGAGATCCAGGACAGGCACCAAAAACTACATGGAGAAACTCTGTCTCAAAAAAACCAAAAAAAAAAAAAAAAAAAAAAAAAAAGAAAGAAATTTTTAGATAGAAAGATAACGGAGAGGAGACAGACAGAAACACAGGATAGCTTCGGGAGGACCTGGATCAAAATCCTGGTCCCTTCTGTCTCTTCAAAAGGGCTTTTTATAACAATGCCAAGGGGCGGGGGGCAAAAGACCTCCCCTTGCTAGATCACAGCATACTGCACAGCCAAGTGCAGACCCTTCCAAATACCTGGTAGCCACATCCATAGTCCAGTCATCCCTTTATGCCACCCTGCTGGATAAAGCAAGCAGATTCTCAGATCCTGAGTATGTTCTTATTAGGACACCTCTATGGGTCTCTGTGTTTTGCCTAACTCTTTAATGGCTACCCTATGGTATTTCTGATTTCTATCTTCTCTTTTCTCTTTTTCTTAAAGTTGCCAACATCCTGTTAATTTTGTCTTTGTTTTTTAAGAGTTACCTTTTTGTTTCAGTTTTTCTGTTTTGTGTTCCTCAAGTACATTGCATTATTTTGTGCTTCTGTTGGCTTTGGGCTTATTCTAGTCTTCCCGTTGACGGTTTTTGAGACAACTGTGTATCAGGCCTCAAACTCATGGTGATCCTCCTTCCTCAGCCTCCACAGTCCTGGGATAGAGGGTGTGACCACCATGCTGGCTTACTACTGTATCTTCTTTATCTTGGCATTCAGAATCATCTTTTCAGATGAACTGTGTACTACTACAATTGCCCTTTACAAAACTTACTGCTACTAAAACATACAGAATATGTTATGTTTTAGATATGGCATTTTATTAAGTTCTGTTTATTTTAAGAGCTTCTTCTTCAACTCCTCCTCTGTAACTTTTGGATTCTGAGGAGTATATTATTTAGCTTCAATGTGTTGGAGACATTCCTCTGTCTCTCCAATGTCAGTTTTTTTATATTTGATTTCATAATAGGCAGATACTCTATGGTTTTAACTTCATTGAGGTTTGTTTTATGTACCAGAATGCATTGAGTATTTTGTGAACACTTAATTGAAGCAGTGGATGATACTGTTGTTGAATGGAATGTTCAAAATAGGACACCGAGTCTTGCTGTAGGGAGGTTCTAACTCTCCTGTCTCTTGCTCATTTTGCTTGTACTAGTTTGTCAGTGGCTAGGTGTAGTATTAATAAATAATAATAAAATTCTCTCATGTTAAAATATTCAGTTTGGTGGGCTGTAGACTATGACAAATAATGAGCATATTGGAAAGTGACTGTTTTTGTGGACACACTTCCCACCATCCTGGCCAGTGTTCTCAACACACTAACAAGGTACTCCCAGCTGCTTTTGTTAGCATTTGGATAAGCTTCAGTATTAGATGATAAAGGAGAAGCAAGTAATCATACTTTCTTGTGGTATGTAGATAGTTCCTCTCTTATGAGAACTATTTGCTGTTCATATTATAAACACTTTGAAAATGGGATTGTTTTATCCATTTTTATGTTCTTTAGTGTCCTCACTTTATTATGTATTTGACTGTATTTTACTGTGTGTTTTATATTAATATTCATTTAAAAATCACCAATTGTGTTCACTATTCCTGAAACTTCTATCCTAAATGTGTGGTTTTCTTTTTTCTCAATTGGGAGAGCACCTATTCCTATGCCTGCATCTTTCACATCCTTTACTGTGTTTTGCTCAACCAACCTATCCTTATAATCTTTTGTTTTTTTACATCAAACATCTGTCATAGTAAAGGATCCTCTCTTCCACAAAACCACGCATGACCTCCAGTCTGTGTGGATGGATCCATTTTTTCAAATATTACACTGTGTTCTTAATAGAAAAAAATATTTGCCAATACTTTCACATGTGTTAAGTGTCAAGTGCTGTTATAAGCTCATTACATAAATTAGTCATTATTTCAGACATCTATTCGATGAAGTCGACTCTTCAACTGATCCTTTTGTACAAATGGAGAAGCTAAGATAGATATCATAACTTACCCAACACCATGGGCTTGTAAGTTGCAAACCAAGGCTCCATACTCAGCAGTCTGGTGGCAGACTTTGTGCTCGTAGCTTCTGTGATGTTTAAAAGAAACATCAGATAGCTTTTATTTAATGATTATTGGACCTAATTTGTAGGCATCTTATTTTTTTCTTTTTATTAGCTCATCATAAAGCTTTATAAAGAAAAGAGTATCCATTGTTTTGTATGCAATGCAATTAAGTCTTAAGAAGTTGAAATATATGATGCCCAAGATCAGGATATAACAACCTAAATCTATGTGTTAGTTACTTTGCTATTGCCCTGACCAGAAGCCACTTACAGAAGAAAGAGTTTATTTTGACTTCTAGTTCCAGAGGGTCCATAGTCAGACAGTTTAGCAGGCATCTGTAGCAGTAAGCTGAGCGAGCACATCTTTAGTTGCACACAGGAAGCAGAAGTGAATTAGAAGCTCTGGAAAAGTGAGCCCCAAATTAAACATTTTCTTTTGTAAGTTGCATGGTCATTACATTTTGTCACAGCACTGAAAAAACATTAAGACAATATTTCTTAAAAAATAAAAAGAGATGCTTCTAAACCATGACCTGAAAAACAATTTTAACCCCAGGTTATTGCTGTAAGAACTCAATTGTGGTTATCGGGATGATCACAGGATTCACATGCAACCTGTAAGCATGAGTATTACAAATGTACAGTGCTGCTTTTTTTTAATGAACATTTTTATCTTCACCAAGTTCTTGAAGAATTCTTGATTCCCCTACTCTGAGTTAGATAAATTCTGTAACAACATATTTTATTCTCAGACTTTTGGGGACAACAGCAATCTTAAATAAAGCAGTTCAATTTTTAGGATTTGCATTTTTACATTTCTTTTTCCATTATATTAACTAATGAATCTTGAATTAGTTTAATCAAACCTCAAATAAAAGACTTTTGTGAAGTGTGAGAACCTGGAACATGGCCCGGTCAGCAAATGCCTTGGGCTTTTAGATTAATCCAGCATATAGATACCACATCTCAAAACATGTTAGCAAACCTTTGCGTTATAAAAGTGTCAGATTCTATGTATCTGCATTAAAATTTCACATACTTATTTTGATGTCTTTGTTTTTCAGTTTTTTTCTAAATGTGTGTTTTGTTGATAATTGTTTATATACCTTTTATTCAAAAGGTTGGAAACAGTGAACTAATGGCCATTTTTTTTTTCTGCCAGGAATTAAAAGATTTTAAATGGCCTCATTGTCCTTGGATAATCATTGTTCAAGCCTCTAGTAATAAAAACATAGAAAACCACTCTCTATGATTTTCATTGCTCATCCCCAAAGTTTCTTTTACTTTACACCAGTAGATTGTGTGGTACACAATTGTTGTAAGCTATTCAGTTTATATATGTCAGACTCTCTAGGGCCATGGCTTTTGCCAGATGAAGCATTTTTTATTTTGAGGCTGATGAAACACAGTGCGATTATTGATCTGTGCATGACATAGCCTGTCTTTCTCCTGGCAGAGTGTAGCAACATTTATCCAGGAATTTGTGAAATGTCACTCGGATCATGTTCGCAAGGTAAACTGTGCAAAATCCAGGATCTGAGCTCAGAATCCATGTGGAATTGGACGTGACTGTCTTGTTCCTATGTCCGATCTTCTAGATGAACTGAGTGATATTTGTTAACAGAATATCTGGGTCTGATTGTTAAGGACCATTATTATTACTTGGAACACTGTGTGCTAGAAAAATCATGCTTCTTATATTCTGTTTCCAATTCTGATTGTACAGCAGAAAATATTCAGAAGAAAATACAGACTGAATAGCATCAATTAAAAACGTCCTTTTTGTTTATGATGAGACATTGCAGTTATTTATTTACAGCAATGTTTCTTCTCTGTAGCAATATCATTTCAAACATGTTTGTCTCATTAAAATACCAATCTTTCTGGAAGTGACAAGTTAGAACATTTGTCTGACTACTAGACTGTGATATTTAAGTGTACTTGCTATTGTAGAATTTGTTTTCTCTTTATTTTGTTGCACAGGGGCTATGTAAGGTCCTTTGCATGCCAGCATATAGTGTACTTTGAGTATAGCTGCTCCATACCACACAAGCCTTCCCCACCCATGCCTCCTCTGTCAGTCCTCTTTGTTTCATAGGCATTTCACCCTCCTTATAATGACGAGAATATTGTCTTATACACATATGAATACCTTTATATATGCTACAGTTCATATTACTTCAATGTACCTAACACATCTAAAGTATTGCTATAATGAGATATTCAATAAGGAATGCAATATGACCCTTATTCCTCATTTAAGATACTAATATAAGAATTGAATGTGTATCACAATTCAAGGACATTATGATATGTATATATACATAATATTGATATAGTTGTGCATATGTCAATATACAAAGACACATGTGTACATGTATATGTAAAGTATAGTGGAGGGGAACAATCATTTTGCTATCATTCTTTAGTAAGGTTTTTAAGGGAGGTGGCATTTGAGCTGAATAATTTTGAAAGTTGTATGCATGGAGAAAAACCATTAAAACATAGGAAAGCTTAAACATGTCAAATGAGAAAGCAGTTTCTCCAAAGTACTGAGTAATCTATTGAGCTGTTGTTGAAATCACGTGGAACAATGTGGACATGAAGCTTGCTGTGTAGACCAGGCTGGTCTGGAACTCACAGTGATCTCCTGCCTCTGCCTCCAAAGTTCCCGCATTACTTGTCCTCTATTAGGATTTGCTTCTCTCTCTCTC